TGAATTTAGAATGCTTTCAAGCTGGACTGTGAGTACCCTCTGACACACAGATTCCCTTTTCTTTATGCTCTGTAATAGACAAGGGAATCTCTGTCTCGCATGGTGGACTTCAGAAAAGCTTGAAGAACGTAATTGGTTGATTCCACCTACGATAGCAAAAGATTTCTGGTAAACGGTTTCTTTTCCAGCCAAGACCTTATGTAACACATTGCACTGTATTGAGTGGTGTCTCTCTTAAAGACGAATTCAGTTTTGTCTTACATTGCCGAGTAACTTACAATCAAACTTTCTTTTTCTTATTTCTGCCATCGCCGCGAAAAATTAGAACTCCTGATCTCAGGTTATCACTGATGTACGTACAAAGTATTCGAGCGAATATTTAAAGCAACGTATGGGAATCAGTAAAGAGAGCTTATGTTTTAATCTTGAAGTTGAAACGGCTACTGACCTTTATAAACCCAGTGGTCTTTGTGTGCCTAAGAAAAATCAAATGAACTCGTTCTTACTATATGACAAGTTTTACACTGGAAACTAGGGGAAATTCAGATGATAGAAAAAAAAAAAAAAAAAAAACACAGAGTAAAGCAAACTGAATTTATTTCACTTACTGCTATGTGGGCGGTGAGGTCGCACTTCGTCTTACTCCCGCACGCCACATCGACACCGAGGATGAAACTGATCAAGTAAACCAACGGAATCTGCAAAGAAATGTTGCGATTTAAATACGAGAGCGTGCACTGATATGAACCAGATAAAAGCATATTTTGAGATTTCGATGAGTACCGGGTTTATTTTTGTTCAAAATAATTTTTGGTGAGCTTATTTTCTTGAGGTCCTGTTCACATACTTTGTTACAAAGATGGCTTATATTCTGAAAAAACCGTTGTCAATGAACGCAACTGAGCACACTGTGGGGGCACAAAGTGTAGGGCAAGCTAGCACTTATTTCGTCCTTTAAACTGACCCATAACTCCATCGCAAGCAAGTTTTCTGTTGTTGTTCTCAAATGACTGAGCTTGAAAACCACTCATAGTTGTCACTCTCTTAGCTTCTCTTGAGCTGACACCCAACGAAGCAGTTTTAATTGTGATATTTTTGAAGAAAAAAGGATGGTATTAATAGATTTNTGGCTCTCTTAAGCCTGGTTCTCATATCCCGCAGACCTACCTGCGAGGTAGTCGCCGGTTGCAACTGACAACGTTCGGCGATCTTTCCCAGTGGGTCCCCGGCGCATCTGGGATGGATCGCCGACGTACTCAAATTTGCGCGAAATGCAAATCGAATTGTCCAAGTTTCAACAATTTTACTCGTAAATATGGATCGAATCGTCTCACTGGAGTATGTTGCGTCCGCAAATGATGTTTACATAAAATATTTTCATCGCCGACAACCGCCGGCTTGCCCGCGAAGTTGAACTCAGCTCAATTTCGCAGGCAAGCCGGCGGTCACTGCCTGGGATAGATTACGATTCGGCGATAAATGTTCACACAAGCCGTAACGCTATCCCAGGCCGTGCCAGCGTCCCCAGGTATGTCGGCGGCATATGAGAACCAGGCTTTAAAGACGATTAAATTAAGGAGTAACCTCTAATCAAACTTTCTTTTTCTTATTTCTCCCGTTGCCGCGAAAAGTTAGAACGCCTGATGTCAGGGTATCACTGATGTAACTGCAAATTATTCGAGCGAACATTTAAAGCAACGTATGGGAATTAGTAAAGAGAACTTATGTTTTAATCTTGAAGTTGAAACGGTTACTGACCATTATAATCCTTGTACTTGGGATAAACCCAACGGTCCTCGTGTGCCTAAGAAAAATCAAACGAACTCGTTCTTACTATACACAAATTTTGCAGTAGAAACAAAGGGAAATTCAGATGACAAAAAAACGACAAAGTAAAGCAAACTGAGTTTATTTCACTTACTGCTATGTGGGCGGCAAGGTCGCACTTCGCCTTATTTCCACACGCCACATCGACACCGAGGATGAAACTGATCAAGTAAACCAACGGAATCTGCAAAGAAATGTTGNCATAGACATGTAGGTGTAATGAGCAAACAACTCCCGGTTGATCTGTTTGTTTATCTCTTTTTCTGTTTCTTTTGCGAAGGGTGCAACAAGTGGTCTCGAAGGATCTACAACGTCTTCGACGCCTGAAAAAAGAGTTGCCATTATAAGTTGTTATAAGAGAATGAAGTGCAAGTTCATATGCTCTGAACGATATTAAACACATTTTCATGTTCTTGTTTGAAATAAAATTGTTCAGTTCTGTTTTGCGTGGAATAGAAAGCCTGAATTTAGAATGCCCCCAAGCTGGACTGCGAGTACCCTTTGACTCATAGATTCCCTTTTTCTTTCTGCTCTGTAATAGACAACGGAATCTCTGTCTCACATGGTGGACTGCAGAAAAGCTTGAAGAACGTAATTGGTTGATTCCACCTACGATAGCTAAAGATTTCCGGTAAACGGTTGCTTTCCCAGCCAAGACTTTATGTAACTTGAGTGGTGTCTCTCTTAAAGACGAATTCAGTTTTGTCTTAAATTGCCGAGTAACCTACAATCAAACTTCAAGTTTCTTTTTCTTATTTTTCCCATTGTGGCGAAAAATTAGAACTCCTGATCTCAGGTTATCACTGATGTACCCACAAATTATTCGAGCGAATATTTAAACCAACGTATGAGAATTAGTAAAGAGAACTTATGTTTTAATGTTGAAATTGAAACGGTTACTGACCTTTATAATCTTTGTACTTGGGATAAACCCAATGGTCTTCGTGTGCCTAAGAAAAATCAAATGGACTCGTTCTCACTATACACAAATTTTGCAGTGGAAACAAAGGGAAATTCAGATGACAAAAAACGACAAAGTAAAGCATACTGAATTTATGTCAGTTACCGCTATGTGGGCGGTGAGGTCGCACTTCGCGTTTTTCCCACAGGCCACATCGACACCGAGGATGAAACTGATCAAGTAAACCAACGGAATCTGCAAAGAAATGTTGCGATTTAAATACAAGAGAGTACACTGATATGAGCCAGATAAAAAGATATTATAGGATTTCGATGAGTACTGGGTTTATTTTTGTTCAAAAGGATTTTTTGGTGAGCTTATTTTCTTGAGGTCCTGTTCACATACTCTGTTACAAAGTTGATTGGGCTCATATTCTGAAAAAACCGTTGTCAATGAACGCAACTGAGCACACTGTGGGGGCAAAAAGTGCAGAGCAAGCTAGCACTTATTTCGTTCTTTAAACTGACCCATAAGTCCACTGCAGACATGCTTTCTGTTATTGTTCTCAAATGACTGAGCTTGAAAACTACTCAGGGTTGTCGTTCTCTTAGCTTCTCTTGAGCCGACACCCAACGAGACAGTTTTAATTGTGATATTTTAGAAGAAAAAAGGATGGTATTAATAGATTTTGAGATATAAAAGATCACCGTGGCTCGCGCAGCTAGCAGTTGGTAAACCACAAATGAATTAGGCAAGATTTTCTCGCGTGGCCATTTCAGTTTTCCCTATCTGAATGGATAACTGAAGCAAAGGTATCAATTACGGCTTAAAAGGGCAAAGACGCCCGCGAGGCGCGAGGACGATGTAAATAGGCTGGTGAGGATATCATGGCGACTCACAGACCACGACAACAGATTTCCGCTTTGGGAAAAGGATTAAAGTTGATGCCTGCAGGTAATTCGAACCCTCGGTAACTCGGATCTCACGTATCGAACCCTCGATGACTCGAGC